ACCAAATTTGTAACTAAGTTAAAGATGCAAAAAATATCAACCAATTAAAGGTGTAAAAAATTATCAAAGTCATGTGTCTTTGAAAAAAATTATTTTCCATAATTAGTCATACCTTTGAGAATGGATAGCAAAGGATATTATTAATTACATGATGTTAATATTTTTTAAATACTGTAATTTAAAAAGGATAAGTTAATAATCTAGGTCAATCTAGTAAGCCATTTTGGATAGCCAACGTAATGTAATTAAAAATATCAAGTAAGCTATATGTGTTGTTATGCTAATCTAGATACATGGGTAGAAAATAAAAATGATAACCAGGATCATATATTGATCCATTGTAACGATTTAGAAATCATGTGGCATAGGTATGTTTGTTAACTAGAGTATGATATATTTGTATAGTAAGTGTGACTCTTGGAAAAAAGATAAACTAATAGTCGTATTTATCTAGCATTCTGAGAAATCCACCAATCTACTGACTTGAAGGAATTAAAAGTTATCATACACTATTTTCAAGAATTGGTATGATGAAAAACCATTTGAGCTCTCTATTTAATGTACAGTTTTGACGAAATTTGTCTACCTTAAATGAATTAAAATGTGCCTTTACTTGACCTATCAAGTTTGGATGCAAGTGAGTAGAGATTAATAAGACATGAATTAAATTATAATAAGGTTGTATTGTAACATCCCAATTTAAATTTTAATAGTTAATTTGGGTTAATAGAAATTTTAAAAAATATTTAGAGGTAAGCAAATTAGTAGGAGATGATTATTAAATCTAACTTAGGATATAATTATAAATTAAAATTAAAAAGATTTTAAAAAAATAATAAAAAATATTATTAAATTATTATTATTATTATAATAAAAAAAAGAAAAGGTATTAAAAAAAAGGGGAAGAAGAAGAAGAAGAAGAACAAAATTTGCTTTCGGCCGCCGCACAACAATCATGCGTATAAAATATTTAAAAAATAAGAAGAAGAAGAAGAGAGAGGAAAGAAGAAATAATAAAAACAAATATGGGACCCACTGAATTTTTTTATAAAAACTCACTTGTTTTCTTCATTTTTTCATTCTTTCCTTCGTGCGTGAGCTGAGGCAGAGAGAGCGTCTGTGAGCCAAGTTCGCCGATGCTAGATTTTAAGGTAAGAGTTTTTAATAGGATATTTAGGGTGTGATTTTAAGCTTTTCAAGATTAAGTAAGTGTTCTAAAAATTTTTCTTAATCATCCTTCCTCTTTGGTTTTTGATTTTGTGGTGGTAGAAAATTTAGGATCAGGAAGAGGGATGAATTTATGTTGAATAAATATGGTTTATGAGGTTGTTAGTAGTATAATAAATCTTCTAGAGTATAAATTTGTTGATAATCTTTGAATTTGTGGCTTATGGATCAAATTCTAAACTAGATTTGAAAATATATGTTGATTTATTGAGGTTTAGATGATTATTTGGGATGAGAAATGAATTGTTATGGCTATAGGATTATGATTCTAAGCTAGAGATTCAACTTTTAATTTTTGGATATTTTAGGTGCGAATTTATGAAATAAAAAGAAAATTTTGATAATAGAAATTAGTTTAGAAGTTGATTTTTAGATTATTAATGTTTATTGATGAGTAAAAGAGGAGTTAAAAATTTTACTTAATAGTGTTGACTCTAGATTTGTATTAAGATTGAGATTAAAAATTATGTTATATTTTTAATTCTATTATTAGAATTATTTTATTAGTTTCAAAAATTGAAACTAATATTTATAAATAATATGTTATTTGTATATTGTATTATTGGTGAAGATTGTGGTGGGAGAGAAATTTGTAAGGAATAATTTATTAAAAAAGCTATGAGGTAACCATGCTTTTAATTTGTGATTAATATTACTTCATGTTAATTGGGTGATTATTGAGAAAATTATGAATTTTGTAATATTATATAATTGTGCAATATTATTATGAATTTGTTTGATTATTGTGGGAGTTACTGGAAAACTTGCTATTGTTGTTGTATTTATGTGCCACATGGTACGTCCCTATTAGAGCTCAATAGGTGGCTTGTAAGGGCTCGGGCTAATCTAGCTTTGGCTGGGTAATTTAGCACCGAGTGAGGACTACGGCTCGAGGTTAATGGAGGGATTATAAGGATGGTTGTTTGTGTGTATTGTAATATTTCTTATATTTTGTTGAAATTATATTATTTTTGGTTCCCACTTAGTAAGCACACACTTAATTGTTTGTACACACTATCATAAATTAGCTTTGATTACTGAAACTTTTGAGTCTCATTATGTGGTTAACAATTTTCAGGAGAAGAGCCACGAGTGACACATGGAGGAGTCCCAGAGGCTTAGTGGCATAGATCCATTGTCTCTTTTGGGTATTTGATTTATGATTTATAATGTGTTATATTGCCAATATTAGGGCTTTTTGTTTATTGATAATTATATGAATTTATAAATGTAATAATACCTTTCAAACTATTTCTATTTTTGGTATACTTTGGATGACTGTAATTTTAATATTTGATTTACTTTGAATTGGTTAAAATGGCATGATTATGAGGCTAAATAACTGGCTTGTGTTGAAAATTGACTAAATTGTTTATTTTACTTATTGGGAGTATAAGGATGGATAAATGTGATTTAGTTTACTTGTTGGGAGTATAAGGATGGACAAATGTGATTTAGCCTAATGACATGTGGGAGGTAAAAATTTAGCTGAAATGTTGTATTGTGCAAGTTGAAACCAATTATAAAATATTTTTATATTGAAATTATTGATATAAAAATGTATTGGGTGGCTGTAACCCAATTATGGTTGAGTTAAATTATTTTAAAAAAAAATTAGTGTGTTACATGTATTGTCTGTTGAATTGGATGCAAGTTTGCATGCAAATGACAATTTATGATAAAATCATTGATGTTGTTGTATATGGCAAAAGAGGAGTTTTTTCCCTGCATTGATATGGTGGTACTGGGAAGAAGTATGTTTAGAGGATACTATCTACTTCATTACGATCTAGAGATAAAATTGTTCTTTATGTGGTATCAAGTGGATAGCTTCTTTATTGCTTCTAGGAGGATAGATAGCTCACTCAAAATTTTGTATTCCTCTTTCTCTGATGGAATACACTGTATGTAGCATAAAACAAAGGAGTAACTTGGTTCACACATTATTGGTTATATGGAATGTGACTCAAATGGTGAACAAGTTTTGTTTTGAACCTTTTTATAGGTGCTTAAATGATATTTTAAAGTTAAGAAACTTAATAGCTGCCAATCTTTTATTTAGAGGAAAAGTTGTTGTGTTTAGTTGAAAAATCAATCAAATCCTTCCTACTATTCTAGGTGGATTTAGAGAAAACATTATTTTTGCTATCATTAACTCTTCGTATATTTAGGATAATCGTCATTCTCTTACACTAACAAGAAATATGGGACTTTTGCAACAAATAATGGAGCATCTATTAGTGTTTTTCAGGATTTTGCTAATTGATTATATCAATTGGTGATGGGAATACTGATATAGTTAATGAAGGATATGTTGATATTAAGATCCTAACTGATTTGTTAATAGATAGTTTAGATAATTTAATGAAGTCCATTGTTGATTTGAGTTTCACAGGTTTTCATAACAATATATGTAATTCTTCATATTTTAAAGATATGGTTATATTAGTTATTACATTTACTATGGTTGAAGAAGTAAACAGGAACATATATTGTCCCTACTCCTTGAAGAGGAAGTTGTATACTTGAGCTCTAATAGTGTTGTAAAAGATAATAGGGACATGAATTCATTTGATGACTTATACTTTACAAATTTTTTAAATTCAATTACAATGTCAGGCCTCCCGAATCATGAAATAGGGCTTAAAGTAAGTGCCCTAATTATTTTAATGCAGAACATTGATCAGTTGCTATGGGGTTGTACAATGATGCATGTCTCATAGTTACGTAAACTGAAAAACATGTTATTAAGGTCTAAGAAATGTCTGAGTCGATTGCTAGGATGAAAGTATGTATACCATATCAATTAGTAAGAAAGTTATTTATAAGAAAGTCTTCAATAATTTGATTTAATTAGTAATAAGTTTTTGTTAATTTGCTTCTTATCATATCCATTCACACCATATGCATTTTGTTTTTATCATTTACTTAATTGTAATATGCATATTAAGATTAAAGATGATAATTGCTTAGCCCTACTACTTATAGGATGATATAGAGATGATATGTTATAAGCTTTTTTTTTTTTTGAAAAAGATTTTTCCATAAAATTGACATGTATTTATAAAAATTATAATATCAAATCCGTATAGAGTATGGGTACTTTAGTAGTTTGGGAAGAAGACAAACAAGTTATTGACATTGATATATTAATGATATCTGCGGTTCATGTTAAATTAATTTTTAAATATTTTTAATATTATATTTATTAAAATAAAAATGTATAAAAATTATAAAAAATTAAATAAATATAGTTAAAAGTATATAATGATAGTAAATTTATGAAAATTATAAAAATTTTAATATTAAATTAGATCCATCCATATTATATTTATATTGTTCAAAATACATTTACATAATCAATTTGTAAAATTAAAAAAATTAATATTAAATTAGATCCATCCATATTATATTTATATTGTTCAAAATATATTTACATAATCAATTTTTAAAATTAAAAAAATTAATATTAAATTAGTCAATCTAAATTAAATTTGTAGGGCCTGATTATAATGCAATGCTTTATTTAAAAATTTTAAATTTGATAAAAATAAAAGTAAAAAGCTTCTGGATAATATAAATGTAATCGAACAGTCTAAATTTTATCTAAAACAATGAGTAATTTGTTATGCATGCCTCATGTAAATAATTTTAAATTTAATATTAAATTTTTTATATTTTTTATTTTAATAAATACAATATTAAAAATATTTAAAAATTAATTTAAATTTAACGGCATACATATTTGGAGATAAATTGAAGGCAAGATCAGCCTTTGACGCGCGGTGCTGATCTTTGCGGATACTGGTTTCTCGAACCTCATCATCGCCTTCTGGCTCTCCCTTCCGATTTCTGTCAAATGTGAGAACCACCCCCCCCCCCCCAGCTCTTCCGTTTTTTCTCAGCTCGGTGACTCAGTGCCATACTCGCAGTGGATTGGTCAAAAGGTCTATTGATCAGCTCAGCAGTTCGGAGAGGAAGATGGTGAGGCTCAAAGTCTATGCAGATCGAATGTCCCAGCCATCTCGAGCTGTTCTTCTCTTCTGCAGGTTCTTCTTCACTGTCAAACTCTTACTTTATATGATCATTCTAAGACTATTATCCGTATTATGAACCTGATTTGTCCTTCAACTTAATTTTTGGTCCTTGTTGAATAGGCTAAGCGGAATAGACTTCGACGAGATTAAAGTAGATATTTCCAAACGTCAGCAACTCTCCCCTGAATTCAGAGGTATTTATCCAATTTCTATTTGTGGGCTTTTGTCCCCATGATCAAGTGAAGATTTATGACCGAGTGTTTGCTTCTTTTATAACTGATTGAATTAATTTGACCGACAGTGACAAAGTGGAAATACAACATGAATCTTTACGTTAAATATATAACGTGCCCGGTCTATGCATAAGAAAGTAAGATTAAAATATGACATATGGCTACTATAACAATTTTATGCATTAAGTGCAACTTCTTTGCTTTTTTATGGGATTCGTTTGTCCTTGTGTTGTATTGCCGATCAGATTGTTACTTTGTATATTCTAGGGGAGGAATGATGAAGGAAACTAGGTTCTGATGTTTTGTTTGTTGTACTATTCTTTTTAGTTAATAGAATTCCAGTATTTATTCAAAGAAAGAACTATCCGTCGAATACTACAATCACTCTAGAGATGGATTATTTATTTGATCTGATATGAGATCTAGGTACTTGTGCTTCCTTAGTTTATTCAACAACTCTCTATATAAGCTATGAAAGGAATAAATTTAGCGAAAGAGAGGAAGGGATGGAGAGAATTATAATTTTAAATAATAGATAACAAGCTAATAGAAGTAGAATCCCTGCGCCTTTTCATTTGATTTCAGAAATAAACCCTATGCAGAAAGTTCCAGCTATCGTTCATGGAAGCTTCAATCTCTTCGAGAGGTAATAATCCAATAATGCCATTTCTTTCAGCCCAAGTTGATGATAGTGCTACTTATGCTCCACTGTACTTGCCACTCTAGGAGAAAGTAAAGTTCTTAATGCCAATGCTATTATTTCTAGATGTCTGATTCACTAAGATTTAGTTATTATAATATATAACAAAATCTATTGTAAGCTGCATTATTCATGAATCACGAATAGTTCAACTCATTCTTCAAACTTTTATGCATGCATGGGAAACTGGAAACATGACTAATCTTCTTACAAAATCATATTTCTTATCATTTGTATAATAAATCTCAGATTCTGACTATTTGATGATCTATACATGATGCAGAGTGATATCTGAAACTATCACTGTGAATATGAATTCTCTGATAAAATATCTATTTTAGTGTTTTTTTTTTCGTCAACCCAATTTAAGTTGGGTGTATAATGATTTTATTGTGTTTAATGGCTTATTTTTCTGTGTTGCACCTTTTTTTTTTTCCACTTCATATTTTAGATCCTATTATTGTAATATTTGGATTTTTATTGAATAATTCACAAGTTAATCTTCTTAATTTATGGCAGCCATGCAATTCTTATCTACCTTGCTACTGCTTTTCCTGGAATTGCTGACCATTGGTTAGTATAACCACCTCTTTTCCTTCTGGTATCCTGAACTACTATTCTATTTTATTGGTCAACACTTTAGGATGTTTCAAATATCAGAGTTGGACTGTTTCAATATACAGTAGCTGAACATTATAAGATTCAAAACAAAGTGAACTAACCATGAAAATTCAGAGTTTCTCACTGCTAGACTTTCATTTGATTCCAAATGAGTTTTTGTTGCTGGGATATGCATTTACACAATCGTTCACATGCAGGTCACAATACATTGTAGATAGAAGATGCTAAAAACGACTTTGATCTTCTGATTTGATGCTTATGCTTGCACAACTTAGAGTCACATACACACGCAGAGAGCATCTTTGTTAATGGTGCTTTCTCTTTAATTTATCAGGTATCCATGTGATGTTTATAGGAGAGCAAAAATTAACTCAATACTGGATTGGCATCACTCTAATCTACGACATGGTGCAGTACCTTATGCATTTTATTCCAGAGTCAGATGTTCTCTGAGTTCCTTAATCATGTGTCCTATGAGTTCCATGTTTGTGATTTGGAAACTTGAGTGCATGTTGTGGTGAACTTCATTTTCTGTTAATTGGATTCTGTATAGATCATTATGGGTTATATAGAGTGTACTAATCAAAGCCTATTTAGCTTTGAAACAAGAACTGTGTATCTTATCAGCATCTAAAATTAAAAATAAAAAAAGATATTCTTGAGGGTGACTTAGACCGGGATCAACCCATGTATATATTGGGAATTAGAGATGGCAGCCCCTCCCAAAAAATAAAAAATGGATTATGTATGATGAAATAGCATCTTGTATGATTAGGGTCTACTGATTTTTTATTATTATGTACAAATCTAATTTTTTTACCTACCCAAAAATAATGCAACACATTTTGTTCCCCTTACCATTTTTCATGGTTCCATCAAAAAACATGAGAGCAAATAAGCAAAACTGTTGAATCATACTTTCCTAGTCATAGTACATCTCTTTATTTCTTCCTTTAGGAAAAGATAATATATTATAACCTATGGTTGACTGCAAGTATTTGTTGGCTTAATGTTATTGATTTAATCCCTGAAGCTGATGTTTCTTCTTATGTTGCAGTGACATATGTTGTAAATACTGTATTAGGACCTGCTCTTGGTCATCCACTAAATCCAAAAGCAGCTACTGAAGCAGAGAAAGTTTTATTATCTTCTTTGTCAAAACTAGAGGACGCTTGGCTCAATGGAGATGGAGGTTTCTTGCTCGGAGGCTTTCAACCTTCTATAGCAGATCTCAGCATGGTTTGTGAACTCATGCAACTTGAGGTAAATGTACAAGTGGTTCAATTCTTTCTGCTATTATTGTTGACCCTTGTTACCTAATAAATACCTTTCGTGCATCTGTACTTTCTTTGTTCTTAACTATGAGTATCTTCCTCAAGCTTGATCTAACAAAGCTTTGAATACAATTAAGGTTTTGGATGAGAAGGATAGAAGTCGTATATTGACCCCGTACAAGAAAGTTCTTCAGTGGATTGAGGACACAAGAACTGCTACAAATCCTCATTTTGATGTAGTGCATAATATCCTCTTTAAAGCTAAAAGGAAATTCCAAGAGCAGCGTTTGAGAGAAGGTAACTCTGGGACAAAGCCTAACAAGATGGGAGGGTTGTCAAAGATGTGAATGCAGATTGCATCTTTCATCTTTGTAATTGGTTCAAGATTATGACATACATTCAGTCTTCTCTTTCTACATGCTTCAGCTGATACAGAAATATTGCTATCTTGTTAGAACAAATAAATCTATGTTTGTTGGATTGAGCTTGTGCTTCATATGACTTTCAGAAAAATGTTTCTTGTAACTGAATAAGTTTGTGTATTATAAGTTAAGGAATGTTATTCTGTATGTATAACATCCCATGATCTATCTCTAGATCTCATGCTTTATTTTTAAGTAAATAACTGGACAATGATTTCGAAAAACGTCTACCATTAATGTACAGGATTCTATCGTGTTAATTATTTAGTGAGGTTTTCAGAATGTGTTCTCTTTGAATTTGGCAATTGAGGTTGGAGTTTTGACGATGATCAAGAATCATCTGAATTGGTGTGTTGAACCCGTCTCAGATCTGGATAAGGTCAAACGCAGAAGTAGATTGGCGGCAAACTACATTTCCATTATTGCAAATGTTCGGGGTAAACAAAGCTTGTTCCTATAGGACTGATAACATCAAGACCCAATTTCTTGCGAGAAAAATGGAGACTTAAAATTTTACATTACGAAGCAATATATTGTCCATGTAAAACCTATTAAATGGGTAATGAACAGAGTAGACGAGCAGAAAGAGAGTGATACAAGAATACGACCTATGAATATGCGTTATTTCTTGGATGCAGAGGACATCCTACTTTATTGGCATGAGGAGAATTTTTGCGAGCTTTCGTTGTGTGTTAATCAAAGGTTTGGCTAGTTAGTATAGTTAGTAAGTTTCCTTTACTGAATACTACCTACGGTTAGGCCGAATAGTTTCTTATAAATAGGTACGAAGTTATATTCATAGAATGACAGTAAAACAATTGATTTCTAATTAGTCAATCTTACTACCATTTATATCCAGCTTGTTCAGTTTTTGGGGTTTTCTGTAGTACTTTAACAAGAGGGAGGAGCAGACAACATTGACAAAAGAAGCTACCATTGTAGCTACGACAATCCATGGCAGTAACCAGAATCCAGTACATGGATAAAAGATCCTAGTAGCAATTGGAATTGCTAGTAGACTGTATCCCAGTACCTGAATGTAGTTGATATGGTGAATTTGTCTGGCTGATAGAATTTAAGGAAACAGTAGAGAATTATGAGAGAAGAACAGGGAAGATGAATGGAGGTGGAGAGAGATTGAGAGATTAAGGAGAAGAGGTTGAGAGAAATTGAGAGGTAGAGAGAGCAACTGAATAATACGTCTTTACTGATCATACGATAAAAATACAATTGATGCCTCAGCCTATGTATAGACTCTCAACCCATCCCTTCCTAATAGCTATATCTAACTAACTAACGTAAACACCTAGTAAAACTTATAACTAATCGTGTCATAATTATAATTCTATGGCAATACCCCCCTCAAAAAGATCCTTGCCCTCAAGGATCAGTGATGACAAATTGGGAAAATTGTTGGAATTGATGCAAAGCTGTCCAAGATGCTTCCTCTTGTAATTGCTTCCACTTGACCAAATTTTCAGTAATGGTCCTCCCTCTTTTCCGACCAACTCTCTTCTATAAAATGCATTCTGGTTTTAAAACTAGAGGTACCTCGGGCCAGTCAAGAGGTGGATGCCTCTGCTTGACTTTAGGATCAGGACATCGCTTCAGTAGAGACACATGAAAGGTTGCATGTATTTTGGAATCAGGTGGTAGTTCTAACTTGTATGCCACTGCCCTAACTCTTTGAATCACCTTGTAAGGACCAAAGTATCTAGGGGCTAATTTTTGGGTGCTCCTAGAAGCTATAAAAAGTTGTCTATAAGGTTGTAACTTTAAGAAAACCCACACAAATTCGTGATCAGACTTGTGTGAATCTGCTTTTTGTTTCATCATATTTGTAGCTGGATGAAGATGATTCTTGAGAATAGCTATCATTTCTTCCCTTGCCGTAAATGACCTATAAATAGCATCTAACACACTATTATGAGGTAAATAAGGAGAATGGAGAGGAGGTTTTTGCTCATAGGGAGTAGCCTTAGTTGTTGTGTGAAAAGTGGTACTATACCACCATTTTGCATGAGGCAATCACTTACTCCACTGTTTGGGCTGTTCCCAACACACATATCGAAGGTAAGTTTCCAAACAATGATTAAACACTTCAGACTGCTCATCCGTTTGAGGGTGATAAGTAGTGGAAAGAAGCTGCTTGACTCCCAAAACCTTCAAAAACTCCTTCCAAAACCCATTAACAAATAAAGGGTCACGATCACTAATAATTTCAAGTGGAGCCCCATGTAATTTATAAACCTAATCCATAAAAATTTAGGCTAAAATAGAAGCTGAAAAGGGATGAGTAAGTGGTAAAAAGTGTGCATACTTACATGATCAATTACTACCCAAATAGTGTCCTTACTAAAGGATTTAGGGAGTCCTTCAATGAAATCCATAATAATACTCTCCCATACCTTACTAGAAATAGGTAAAGGCTGCAATAACCTAGGGGAAGTAACAGTCTCATACTTACACCTAACACATGTATCACACTGTTTAATAAAATCAGAAATATTATTTATCATTTTTTCCTACCAAAGTAAGGCCTTAACCCTTTGATATGTAGCTTGAATTCCTAAATGACCTCCTTGTGGGTTGGCATGGAGCCACTCTAATATTTTCCGCCTCAAAGAGGATCAGAACCTATCACCATCTTCCCTTTTCATCTTAATAAGCTGCCATCCCAAGAAAAAAGACCCTACACTCCATCATTTTCTTAAGTTTTCTTCTAGATTCCTGAAATAACAGCATCCACATCCCAACTTCCTTTGATTTTCTCAGGCAATTTTGGTGATGATGTGTCTAAAATCATTTGCATTACTTGCTGTTTGGGTATTCTAGAAAGAGCATCTGCAATAGAATTCTCATTACCCTTCTTGTATTGAATCTCATAGTCAAAACTAGCTAATTTAGCAACCTAAAACATCTGAAACCTTGTCTTTAACTTTTTCCTAAACAGATATTTCAAGCTTTGCTGATTTGGCTATATTATAAATTTCTGCCTTTCCAAGTATTGATGCCAATGAAGCACAGCCAAGACCACAGCCATCAATTCCTTTTCATATACCAAAAGCTTTTGATGCTTTTCAGCCAATCCCTTGCTAAAATAAGCAATTGGTTAACCTGATTGCATTAGAATAGCCCTTACTCCTACTCCACATGCATCAGTTTCAATTATAAATTGTTTTGAAAAATTTAGAAGGGTGAGTACAGGTGTAACATCCCAAAAATTTTAAGACTCAGATTTATTTAAAAAAAATAAAATATCTATAATTAAATTAAAATTTAGAATAATTTGATAAAAGTCCAGAGTTTAAATTTTTCTCAGCAAAAATTTAGTTTTATTTAATTTTTAACTATGAAAAAAATTACCAAAGTTGACCCAAACTTTTGTGTTATAATAAGAAATATTGGGCCCTTTATTGTATTTTTTTCTAAAGTCTAATATCAACAATTTAAAGAGCCAAATGAACGTAGAAACTAAAAAGAAAGAAAGAAACGCACAAAACGAATGAGAGAGAGGAAGAAGAGAAGAGAAAGAGAGGGAGTTAGACTTGGATCTAGGAGTCTTTGCGACCGTTGCGAGCTCGGCTACACAATAAGTAAACTCCCTACTTCAATTCTCTTTCCTTCCTCTTGATTTTCTTCAATTTTTGAAAGAGGAAATTTTTAGATTTTGATCCCAAAGGCTTTATTCTTGTAAGCTTTTATTTTTTTGGATCCTAGCGAGGATGTTTTGAGTTTCTATATGGTGTTCTAATATTTTGAATGGATAATTGGATGAAAAGAGGTGTTTTGGATACAAATCAAACCCTGAGAGATTGAGTTTTGCTCCTCAATGGTTTAACCTTATTGATTTAGTTATAATTTTACCATTTGAGCCCAATAATATTTAAATTAAGGTTTGGTTTTCATTATAAGGACTAATAGTGAAAGTTAGTGATACTAAGTGAAGGTTTTTAATTGATTAAAAATTATATAAATTGGAAATTAGCCTAGTGATGGCTAATAAATGGTTTTGATGGTTAAGTGATACTATGTGAATGGTTGATTTAATATATGGACCATTAGGATGGATTATGACTCATTGACCCAAGTTGTGTGATATGAGTTATAGCCTTCATTAATGCTATTTGTCATGATAAGTGATGTGGATCACTTATATGTTGTAGGGATTGTTGGTGGAATTTGTTCGGAAGTTAAGAAACAAGTCGAGTCCTATTTTGTACAAGAGGAACCCTTTTGGTACCAAAGGGTTGAGATAACAGGAGAATTTATATTTCTTATTACTTTGTTTTAGCTATTTTTGAATAAATATTACTAGCTATCATGCATTACATGTTTTAAAATATTAAATATACTTTATAAGGGGTTATGGGGTACTACTTTGATTATAGTGCAAATATGTTTTCTAATTGTTTAACAACAATGTTATTATGGAAACGAGATTTGTTTGCATGTATTGTAATAATAAAGAATAGAAATTGCACTTAAGAAAGTGTAACTAAGTAAGGTACCTTAGATAGGCTAAGGAACCATTTAAGGGAGGTTTATAAATGTTATACTACCTTAGAATGTTAAAGTGGTCAATACTCAAGAAAGGTAGACACGAATAAAAGGCATGATCTCAGTGGGAGTTCACCAATGAGAAGGTGTGACTTTTGATATCTTGTGGCACATGCCAGTACTCAGTGTTGCTTTACGTATTGTGGGCTCAGTGCACTAAAGTGGTTAGTGTATTGAGTGTTTGATATCTCTCAGTGGAAGAGGGAATCCGACATATGAAGTGTGAGGTTGAGTGCCTAAGCTAAGGTAGCCCTCATATGGAGAGTAAGTCGGGCTGGCTCTGGGAGGGAGTTAGCTTTGACTGCTCAGGCGATTCGGTAGATTAGATCATGCCTTAGATTATGTTTTGTGCCTGTGGAGGTACAAGTAAGTATAAAGTTTACCTACGAGTTAAAGAGTGCCAAGGGATATTCTGTGGGTCATGAAAGGCCATATCGGCCTACATCATGCATTCATGTATTTTAAATGGTTAAATTATACTATGTTGAATTTATTATTTGTTTATTCAATTATGGCTTGCTTTGTAATAATCAATGTAGATTTCTCTGTTATTGAGACTGTGATTGTCTCACCCCTTTCTTTTCAATATTTCCAGGTCCAAGTGAAAGAACCAG